CTACGTCTTTAAAATTTAAAGCAGAATTACAATGTTTTTATTTTAGTGAAATGAAACATTTTCAAACAGAAGGAATCAGGGTTTATAAATCAGTCTTGATCAGTAAACACATTCTAAGTCCTCACTATATGTCATATACAATTGTTCCAATTTTTTAAGCACTGATTCATTCTTTCAAATAATAACCTGTATCATGACTCATAAAAATGCAAAAGATATTATTTGTTAACATTTAAAAATAAATGATATGATATTACCAATTTGAAATTTTATTTTCTTACAGAAATATTTTATGAGATAACAAAAATTATTTTCTACACTTACCAGCCAAAGCAAGAATATATTCTTGAAATCTTGTTCCTATGCGGTTAGTGGCAGTGCAATTATATCGTCCAAAATCATTGTCAGATGTAGGTGCAATCTAAAATAATCATAATCATAATAGTTACAATTCTACACCATACAGAAGTTTTAAAATAAACTATAATATGCCTACCACTTGCACACATGTTCTATTATTTACCCCACAATTCCTTGTCATAACTGTTTTATTTTCTTTATCAATTAAGCATTATTAAATAACATAAATCCTTTTGAGATGTATCTACAAACTGATACCATCCATAAGACTAGATGAATCATAGTGTATTTATTAATTGATTAAGTGGACAAATGCCACGATTTTGATGTATCTATTGAATAGCAAAATCATTATATCCTCCTATATACGAAGCTCAGAAAGTAGTATACAGCTTGAAAATAATGTATAGCAATCGATGCAGGTGTAAACTTGAAAAATGGAGTCTTGTTCCAAAAACATTGTTAACTCTGTTTTCTCTCTTTTTGCTTCAGACCAGGCTGATTTAAAGTTTAACAAAGGCTCAAAATATTTGAGGTTTTCTGCCACTCTTGAGTTTACTGAATATAAAATACTAATGAAGGATGAGAAATTATTAAAAGCAAAATCTTTCCAGGAAGGTATCCTGCAAGAAAATATTACCCTTGTGCAACAATCCCTGTAGACAGTACTTTTTCTTGACATCTAATAACAGTATCTTGCCTCAATCTGCATTCTATTCCTATCATTCTCTTTCATTTTAGGTGTAAAATAACTGACCTCAATCCTTGCACATTTGAAATCTGTAATTAAGTTAACCTTCGGGGATTCTATTGGTGAACATTGGAACCAACCTAGTAATTCTAATGTCCAGAAATTCTGAAGTATCAATTTAGAAAAGAGATTTGATGATAGTAACAGATATAATTTTCAATCCCAGTAACTATTATTAAGGGAGAATATTCTTACAACAAGAGTTGCTGTTAATTTCAACTCTATCCCAAAAGAGGGAAAAATGATTTTGTGGTAATGGGAGGCTATTAACTAAAAGTGCAATTTTGAGGTCCATTGAAGATGATAATTCTTAAAGAGCACAAAAAAGCTGTGTCATTCATTTTCGAGTCAGCTGTCCATTTAGGAAAAGATCATACAATTAAAATTTAGAAGTTTTAACAGCTCTTATATAAGTACTTAGCAGTGATTAAAATATTAACATTTATTATATGTGCAGCTTTTAAGAAACAAGGCTAATTTAGCTCTAAAATAATTTTACTAATGAGAAAGATTTAACAATGAAATTTCTTATTCTACAGGCATATGCAAAAGTTATTTGTATATTCAACAAGGAAGAATGTGTTTACTGAATCAATACAATATAGAGACAGGATAGCCACAAGGAAGAACTGTGACTATCGCACAGCTCCTTAAGATTAATAATTTAAATATAGCCATTTTCCTTGGAACAATTTTAAAAAGGCTCAATTCTTCTCTCTTTTTTTTTTGTTACCTGAGCTGGAGTGCAGTGGCATCATCATAGCTAACTGCAGCCTCAAACTCCTGGGCCCAAGTGATCCTCCTACCTCAGCCTCCAAACCTGGGACTACAGCAGACATATATATGCCACCCTGCCTGGCCAATTGTGTATGTATATGTGCTTTTTTTTTTTTTTGGAGAGATGAGATCTCTCCAAAATGGTCAAAATATCACCATTATCAGGAGTTTGGAAAAAGTTGGTTCTACCCCTCATGGATGACCATAATGGGTTTAAGACTTCAGTAGATGAAGTAACTGCATATGTGGGGAATATATCGGGAGAACTGGAATTAAAAGTAGAGCCCAAAGATGTGAATGAATTGCTGCAATCTCCTGATGCAACTTGAACAAATGAGGAGTTGCTTCCTATGGATGAGCAAAGAAAGTGGTTTCTTGAGAAGGAATCTGCTCCTCATCAAGATGCTATGAACAATGCTAAAATGACAAGAGATTTAGAATCTCTAAAGAGATTTACAATATAACATAAACTTAGTTGATAAAGCAGTGGCAGGGCCTAAGAGGATTGGCCCTGATCTTGAAAGAAGGTCTATTGTGCATGAAATGCTATCAAACAGCATTATATACGACAAGGAAATATTTTGTGGGAAAAAAAAAGTGTTAATTTATACAGCAGACTTCATTTTTGTCTTATTGTAAAAAATTGCCACAGCCACTCCAACTTTCAGCTACCACCATCCTGGTCAGTCAGCAGCCATCTACATCGTCCACATCAAGGCAAGACCCTCCACCAGCAACAAGGTTATAACTTGCTGAAGGCTCACATGATTGGTGGTATTTTTTAGTAATGAAATATATA